TCATATTCAGGAGGTGAGGAGACCCTTGATTAAAGAGTTGCATGGATTGTTAGACGAGAGGGTCAGTTTTGAGATTTGTGAATCGGGAGTATTGTTAGCTCACTTTCAGGTTAAGTCAGACTTGGTAGACCGGATTAAAATAGCTCAGAAGAAGGATGAACGACTTTGCAAGATTCGAGATGAATTGGAGTTAGGAGGAGCTCTAGGTTTTGCTATCCATGAAGATGGTGTGTTGAGATTTGGTTCCAGGTTATGTGTTCCTGAGGTGGATGATTTGAAAAGAGATGTGATGATGGAAGCACACCAAACTGCTTATACTATACATCCTGGTTCTAACAAGATGTATAGAGACTTGAAAGAGTGTTATTGGTGGAATGGCATGAAGAGAGACATTGCTGAGTTTGTATCTCGATGCTTGACTTGTCAGAGGGTTAAAGGTGAGCATCAGAAACCACCAGGGCTTTTGCAGCCATTATTGATTCCTGAATGGAAATGGGAGAGGATCACTATGGACTTTGTGTCAGGTTTGCCTCGAAGTCAAGAGGGTTATGATTCGGTTTGGGTGGTCGTTGATCGTTTAACCAAGTCAGCTCATTTCCTGCCAGTAAAGGTGACATATGGGTTTGCAAAACTGGCAGAAATCTATGTTAACGAGATTGTAAGGTTGCATGGTGTGCCGATCTCAATTGTGTCTGATAGAGGTCCACAGTTCACTTCTCGGTTTTGGGTAAAGTTTCAGGAAGCTTTGGGGACTAACATTAAGTTAAGTACTGCCTTTCATCCTCAGACAGATGGACAATCTGAGAGGACTATACAAATTTTGGAGGATATGTTAAGAGCTTGTGTGATTGACTTTGGTGTAGGATGGAGCAAGTACTTGTCTTTGGTGGAGTTTGCGTATAATAATAGTTATCAAGTAAGCATTGATATGGCTCCATATGAAGCTTTGTATGGCCGGAAGTGCAGATCACCTATATGTTGGTATGAGGTTGGCGAGAGGAGATTAATGGGTCCCGAGTTAATACGGATTACTTCAGATAAGATTAAGGTGATCCGAGATAAACTTCAAACGGCTCAGAGTAGGCAAAAGAATTATGCAGATAAGAGGAGGCGTAATCTAGAATTTTCAGTGGGTGACAACGTGTTCCTAAAAGTCTCTCCGACTAAAGGGATATTCAGATTTGGGAGAAAAGGAAAGTTGAGTCCTAGGTATATAGGACCCTTTGAGATCTTGGAAAGAGTAGGGGTAGTGGCATATCGGCTTGCTTTGCCACCTAATCTATCCTCTATACATCCAGTGTTCCATGTTTCAATGTTGAGGAAGTATTTGTTTGATCCATCTCATGTGCTGGAAGTTCAACCGGTTGAATTGAGAGAAGATATGTCATACGAAGTTCAACCAGTAGAAATAGTGGATCGACAAGTGAGAAAGCTTAGGTCGAAAGATATAGCTTCAGTAAAAGTGAAATGGAAGGGTCATTCACATGAGGAAGCGACATGGGAGCTCGAGGATAAGATGCGTGAGGAGTATCCTCATCTTTTCGATAATCTCGGTAAGTATTCAATCATTCTATTAAGTTTCGAGGACGAAACTTTTATAAGGTGGGAAGATTGTAATGTTTTGAAAAAAAAACAAAAAGGAATAGGAAAAGGCAACAAAGCCCTTAAAGGCTTAAAAGTGAGTAAAATGAATAAGGGGTATTGTGGTAATTGAATAATAGTTAATAAATATAAATAGGAAGAAAAATAAAACAAAAGAACAAAAGAGAGAGCTGTATTTTGAGAGCAAACGTAAGAGAGGGAGAAGGAAGAAGAAGAAGAGAAAAGAGGGGAAGAGAAGGGAAAGGAAAGAGATTGAGAGGAAATAACTTTAAAGGTAAGATTTAGGTTGTTAAATGTATAAATGTGTTGTTTTAAATTTAAATTTATGTTTTGATAAATATTAGAGGTTTGAAAATTTGTGTTTTGGGTTTATTGATGAATTAATTTGAATGTTATAAGGTTGATTGTTGTGGGTAATTGATTAATTAGTTGATTTTGAGAGATTGTTGGTAAAGATGATGATGTTGAGTTATGATTTGTGTAAATTGTGAATTTTGAGTTGGAATTCTGGAAAGAACAGTAGGTAATCTGTGAACAATTCTGGGTTTGAGGTTGAAGATGACGAAAATTCAATTTGGTCCCTCAATTTGTGGAAATTACAGTTTAGTCCCTAAACTTTGGAAAAATTATAATTTGACCCCTAATGGTATTTTGAGATTCTGGACAGTGTTATTATGAGGTTAAGGATGATGAATCTCAGTTTGATAATTGATTTGGAATATTTTCAGTTTGGTCCTTAAATTTAAGAAATTACAGTTTAGTCCCTAAACTTTGGAAAAATTATAATCTGACCCCTAATGGTATTTTGAGATTCTGGACAGTGGTATTATGAGGTTAAGGATGATGAATCTCAGTTTGATAATTGATTTGGAATATTTTTAGTTTGGTCCCTAAATTTTAGGAATTTGCATTTTAGTCCCTAAACTTTATAAAAATTACTTTTAGGTCCCTAGTTCGTTCTGGACAGAATGAAGGATGGTTTATGGGTGAAATTTCAGTATGGTTATATATTTACAGTTTGGTCCAGTTTTGGTAAAATTACATTTTGGTCCCTATTTGGATAATTATCATTTTAGTCCCTAAACCTAGGAGAGTAAACCTAGTTTTATTTTATGCATTGAGATATTATGTTTGAGTTGTTTTTGAGTATATTTCATATATTGTTGTAGGTTCTCCTAACGATCCTCAATAGGATTTTCGGGTCTTTCGTCTGACGTTCCTTTAGTTCTATATTTTCCGGGTGAGTGGGATAATCTTTAATATGCATATAATATAAGTAAATATGTATGTTGATTATATGATGAGTACGATTAGTTAATCTCTTGAATATTTATATTTATATATTTTGCTTTGTTTTCCGAGTACTCATCTATTCTTGAAATTGCACTCGTATTTTATCGAGCTAAATTATATTTGATATGATATACGTTTCTTTGATGATTCTGTAAATATCTATTATGCCTTGATATAGGACTTGTCAGTAACTCCATGCTAACGGAGAGTAGTTAGCCTATGTGCACATAGTATTCTGTATACCTAGCTGATAAGAGAAGCATCAGCCTGTGGCGACTGATCATCCCACAGTGGTCACCTTCGGGTGTCATCTGGTCACCTTCGGGTGTCATCTGATCTCTGACATGTATTCCACTACGTTATGATAATATGTTCAGTATGTATATGTATATGTATATCAAGATAAATCATCTGACAAATTATTAATATGAAAATATCTAAAATGTATATTAAATATTATTCCTTCACTGAGTTGGTTGAACTCACCCCTCATTCTTAATATTATTTCAGGTTCTTAGTTTCTGATAGCAGTTGGACTTTGTTGAGTGTTCCTACTTCTTCAGTTTTGGGTCGGTATGCCTTGCTTATTGTTCAAGGTTGTTTTGATTCGAAGTCTTAGACGCTCCACTATTACTCTGTTTTAATTAAGTTTGGATTTTGACAATGTAATGAGTATTATGAATTATTATTTTGTTTTAATTACTGATGAAGAGTTTTGACTATCCTTTGATTTCATCAGCTTTGAGTAATATAATATTTCTGAAGATTATGAAATGCTGCGTATTTTTGAATATCTATTATTTTGATATGTATGTTTTGAGGCTTAGCGTAGGTGGGGTGTCCTTTCGACACTCCTCCTGCGTTGCCGGTCATGGACCCGGGATTTGGGTCGTGACACTGGTAGAAGTGCACTGAGAGTTAATGACAGTTTTAGAGGCTATTAAGAGTGATTCAGTGATTAACAAGAGAATTGTAATACCACCCCAAATGCAAAGTACAATCCATTCCTTGCTTTCTTTTCATAACCACTATATTCATGATTTATCAGAAGTCTAATTTAATAAAAAGTACAACATAATCATAATTAAGTCTCTACGATTAATCTTTACTGATTATTGAAATAATTGATCTATATGGTAATTGTTTTCTTAATCCTTTTACAAGTACAGCCCCCTGATAAAAAAAAATTGAAGTGCAAGCAATCATAGGCCCAACAACATCAATGCAAGCCAATTTTGTTATTGAAGTTGGAGAAAAAGCTCAGGTGCCCATTATATCATTTTCTGCATCAAGTCCTTCTCTCACTTCCATCAGGAGTCCCTTCTTTTTCTGAGCTACCCAAAATGAGTCAACTCAGGTGAATGCCATAAGTGCATTAGTTCAAGCCTTTGGATGGAGAGAAGCAGTAACCATCTACATTGACAATGAGTATGGAGAGGGAGTGATTCCTTATTTAACTGATGCTCTGCAAACAGTTGATGCTCGTGTACCGTACCGGAGTGTCCTTTCTCCATCAGCCCCTGATGATCAATTTTTTTCAGAGCTTTACAAGTTGATGACGATGCAAACTAGAGTTTTCATTGTGCACATGTTTCCATCACTTGGCGCTCGGGTTTTTTCCAAAGCAAAAGAGATTGGCATGGTGGGTGAAGGCTATGTTTGGATCATGACTGGTGGTCTAACAGCTGAATTTTTGAGTTCACCAAATGCTTCCGTCACCAATACAATGCAAGGTGCATTGGGTGTGAAACCTTATGTACCAAGAACAAAAGATTTCGAAACTTTTCGAAGTCGGTGGAAAAGAAAATTCCAACAAGATAATCCAGATATTGTTGATGCTGAGTTGAATATTTTTGGCTTGTGGGCATATTATGCAGTAACAGCTTTGGTTGGCTTCCGAAAGGCAAACGTTTCTAGCAATTCAGATCTTGCAACTCTTGGGGTGTCTTTAAATGGTCCTTATCAAACATTACTTTCAATGGTCTTACAGGAGATTACCTTTTCGATAATGGACAGTTACAGTCATCAGCTTTCCAGATAATAAATGTGAATGGCAATGGGGGAAGAGAGATAGGATTCTGGACATCAACCGAAGGTATTGTCAGAACATTGAAGTCAACAAATAATATGACTGCATACTCAGGTTCTAACTCCGATCTTTCAACTGTCATATGGCCGGGTGATACAACTTCTGTTCCCAAGGGTTGGGAGCTTCCAAAGAATGGGAAGAAGTTGAGAATAAGAGTGCCTGTGAAGGATCGTTTCAGTGAGTTTGTGAAAGTAAAAAGAGATCCTAGTTCTAACACCACAACCGTCACTGGATACAGCGTAGATGTTTTTAATTATGTTGTCAAAGCATTGCCTTATGCTTTGCCTTACGAGTACATCCCCTTTGCCAAGCCTGACGGCGAGACAGCTGGAACTTACAATGATCTGATATATCAAGTCTACTCGAAGGTAAAACTTTCACCAACCTTTTCCTGTACTTGATCACATTCAGTTTTATATCTGAAACAAGATTTGAGACACATTCATGCATGCAAATCTAATTTTTATTGATATGTTGTTTCTTTTGCTTGCTATCAACAGAATTTTGATGCTGTAGTTGGAGATACAACTCTTGTTTTCAACAGATCCAGTTATTTTAAAAAATATATTTTTTTAAAATATTATTGATGAGTTTATTAATTAACTAGGGTTTTTATATTTTAAAAAGTTGAAAAATAATAACAGCAAATGCTATTATTATTGATGGGTTATTGACAAAACTATTTTATTAGTATATTTTAAAAAATTTAAAAAACATTATTGCAAATATCATTATTATTATTAAAACACCGATAAAATTATAGATGATATTTTTTTAGTGATATATTATATTTATCGATGAATTTACGGACAGTCTATAAATTACATACAAGAGTTTTTCTAACAAACTATTTTCATTCTTGATTTTATAAGTAACATACATACCAGTAGACTACTAATATTAATATTAACAAAACTTTTTATCAGGAAAATTATTAAATCTAATAGATATCAAATTGTTTTTATACATATCCAGTTTAATTATGCATGATTCACATCCATTTTTTGAAGTGCGGAACCAAACCCGACTTCTAAATAATATGCTAATAGTGTGAAAAACTACTTTGTATTTTATTGGGAAAAAAAAAAACTAACATCAATTTTTGTATCTTATTTTCAATTTTTAAGAAGCAAAAAAATAAAATTAAAAATTAAAGAATCTAGGGAAGTATTGGGTTGAGAAGGCTGGGATTTGGTCCTTTTTATTTTTCAAATCTTCGAATATCCAACCATCCAATTTTCTCATCGTAAACGACAACGTTTTTCAATCAGGTCATATTTATAAGATTTTTTTTCTTTTTACAGCTTCCTGAATTCACATTCGAAGTGATAACATGCGAGCACAACGTTCTAAGAAATTTCAGATATTAAATAAGTCATCCGCAATTATATGTACTAATGTATTTACAATTTGATATGGTCTTAAAAAACTCATACTCAAGAAGATCGATGAAGGGGGACCATAACCCCTTACCAACGACACCTTAAAATTTAGAATCTGATGATAATGCAACAACCAGTGACCACATGTACTTTGATTTAGCCAATGTAAACGCAATGAAATAAGACAACGAATAGCTTTGATTAGTATGAATCCCACTCCAGCAAACCCGAGGCAACTACTCCATAGAAACATACGCGATCCCTACATCCAAGTGCATCTGATTTGCCTGTCTTGTTGACATTAGATGTCAATATGAGAAATGTCCAAGTAAATGCAAATGGGTCGGAATCCTCCTCTTTCAATTTTTAGTTTTCACATTTGATGATGTGGGTATGAATCAGCTAGACGGTTGATCCTCAAGAGGATGTATTGTACGTTCAACCTTCGGGTTCACAGTATCATGACAAGTTTTGTCTTGAAAAGTATCCCCTAAAAGGAGAGATAATCTCAGATTTTTTAAATAATTTTTTTGTAATTTTAATATTAAAAATTAATTTTTTAAAAAATAAAAAGTAGGTTATTTTATTATATTTTAAATAAAAATATTTAAAAAAAAAACTTGATACTTTTTAATCATAAAAAAATAATTTAAAAAAAAACACAAATTCTATTATTATTATTTTACAAAAAAGAAGTCTGCTAAACTCTGGGAGATTCCTTTTTGTCAATATACAATACTGTCTGACCTCAGGCCCACGTCTTCTAGTGAACAATTTATTAAAATGGTTTGCTTTGACTCTTCCAAATCATGAATATCCTAGCAATAACAGTGAGGAAACTACACTTTTCAAGATCCACAGCTTTATAAATAAGGGATCTTTCCTTCAAAGCTTAAACAAAAAATATTAACTAAGCTAGAATCAGCACCACCATAGGTGGACAATAAGATGAAGAAAAACCATTCAAAGGCTGTTCTCTCCATCTTTTTTTGTGTATGGATTCTGTTCACAGGAATGGGAATGGCTGAAAACACATGTATCCCAGTGAATGTTGGCGTGGTTCTTGACCTGGACAGTGATTTGGATGGCAGAATTGCGTTGAGTTGCATCGAAATGGCCCTCTCAGACTTTTATGCCACTCATGGTGACTACAAAACCAGACTAGTCCTCAACACCAGGGACTCCATGAAAGCTGTTGTTGGTGCAGCTGCAGCAGGTTCCCTCTCTCACTCTTTCCCTTTAAAACCATACTTGATGTTTAGTGTCGAAAAACATAAAAAGAGTCTGATAAACATATCATATTTGATTACGTAGCAAATAATCAAGATCTTTTCTATTTGAATTATAAATTTTGAATATTGTTCATATGAACCAATACCTTGCTATCAAAGTCACCCACAAAAACATCTTCTAAATTTCTAGGGTTTTTTTTTATGGTGTGTCCGGAAGAGAACAAATAGAGATACTGGGAAAGAGGGTTTTTTTGTTTTAATTTTAATTTTTTTAACATGCACGAAAATTATTAGTGACGTCCATGATCTCAAATGTCCTGGCATTGTGGTTAAAATTTGAGAAAACAAAGGGAATAAATGAAATTACTGAAACTCTCAATACACGAACCTCATGGCTAGGAAGCTCGTCATCAAAATGGAAACAAAACTCCAAAAAAAAAAAAAAACTACACCACCGACAACGTACCCAAAATATTTTTCTTCAATGGTTGTTGGAGGCCTTGAGAAAATTACTGCCTGGTATATGTATAACATGCAAGAGGTTGGTTGCTTCTTTCTTTGACTAAAATGGAAATTCTACTTCTCCAAGCACAACCACCCTAGGGTTACAAATATAAGACTTAAATCCCATTTGATAAAATAATAAGAAAACTCACTACGCTTGTTTAACGAAATCACACCACTTAGAGTTTGATTTACCAGAGTCTTTACTGTGTCTGTTGTGTTGTATTGTAAAATTAAATACATCAAACTATTTACCGATGAATTATTGTGTTGTGTTATCATTAAGAATATAAATTAAATTAAACTATGTGGGACTTGCCAATACTTAAAAAGCTTTCTTCCTATTAAATTTTCTAAACATCTAAGATTGGAAAGGCTTTCAAATATGGCTAGAAGCTAGTATGCATGAATTTGTTATATTTTTCTAGTTAAATTGTGATTTTTTTATTTAATTTAGAATTTTATTATTATTATTTTTAGTTTTGTTTAAGAGGTTTTCATTGGTATATAAATAGCCTAGGAGATTAATTTGTAATATTTAGTTTTGATTGGATAAAAAAAATTAATAATCAAAATTTGAATTGAGGTTCATGTGGTAAAGACTATTCAATAAATTTTTAAGTTGTTTGTGCTTGTTATCCCTTTTGTTTTCTTCCTTCAAAATTCAAATAGCTTGTGTAGATGATTATAAGGATGCTACGCAAGAAAAGTAATTGAAATTTAACTTTTTTGAAAGTTTGATAATTTGTCATTGGTTTTCCCCATTGATCTCCGTTGATTGTGAAAGAATTTTGCATGTTCTTAATTTTTCTTATGCTCTATCAAAACACAGCCCTGGACTTGATAAAAAATGTGGAAGTCCAAGCAATCTTAGGGCCAACAACATCAATGCAAGCCAACTTTGTTATTGACCTTGGAGAAAAAGCTCACGGGCCCATAATGTCGTTTTCTGCAACAAGTTCTTTTCTTACTTCCATTAAGAGTACCTATTTTTTTCGAGCTACACTTAATGACGCAACTCAAGTGAATGCCATAAGTGCTTTAGTTCAAGCCTTCGGATGGAGAGAAGCAGTACCCATCTACATCAACAACGAATATGGAGAGGGAATCATACCTTATTTAACTGATGCTTTGCAAGCAGTAAATGCTCGTGTCTCCTACCGGACTGTCATTTCTCCATCAGCCACTGATGAACAAATTGTCGAGGAGCTTTATAAGTTGATGGGAATGCAAACTAGAGTTTTCATTGTGCACATGTATGGCTCTCTTGGCACTCGGCTTTTTGCCAAGGCAAAAGAGATTGGTATGATGAGTGAAGGGTGTGTTTGGATCATGACTGATGGTTTGACAGCTGATTTGTTGAGTTCACCAAATCCTTCTGTTACTGGGACAATGCAAGGGGTACTGGGTGTTAAGCCTTATGTTCCAAGTACAAAGGAGATCCAGGATTTTCGAGTTCGGTGGAAAAGGAAATTCCAACAAGATAATCCATATATTATTGATGCTGAGTTGAACATTTGCGGACTACGGGGCTATGATGTTGCCACGGATTTGGCCTTGGCAGTTGAGAAGGCTGGAACTAAAAATTTTGGCTTCCGAAAGGAAAATGTTTCTAGCAGTTCATCAACGGAACTTGCAACTCTTGGCGTCTCTTAAATGGTCCAAACCTTCTTCAAGCTTTATTAAACACTAGTTTCAAAGGCCTTACAGGAGATTACCATTTTGCTGATGGGCAGTTGCAACCTCCAGCTTTCCAGATAGTTAATGTGAATGGAAATGGAGGAAGAGAGATTGGGCTTTGGACACCAACAAAAGGACTTGTGAAACAATTGGTTCCTAGTAATGGTAAAAATTCAACTTCTCTGTCCGGTATTTCAACCGTGATTTTCCCAGGTGACACAACTGTTGCTCCAAAGGGATTTAGGATTCCCACAAAAGAAAATAAGTTGAGAATAGGAGTGCCGGTGAGGTCCAGCTTCAGACAGTTTGTGGACGTCAGAAAATATCCTGGTTCTAACACCACAAAAATCACCGGATTCTGCATAGATGTTTTTGATACTGTTGTCAAAACATTGCCTTATGATTTGCCTTATGAATATGTCCCCTTTGCCAACCCTGACGGCGAGCCTGCTGGAACTTACAATGATCTGGTCTATCAAGTGTACTTAAAGGTAGAACTTAATTTTATCCTTTGCTGCACTTATTCTATGCTTTTGATATATTGCATTGAATACCATACACATTGACGCAAGTCTATTTCTCGGAGATATTCTTTCTTATGCATTTTTGTTTACAACCAACAGAATTTTG